ATCGTCATTTTTCCACGATACAGCGCCCTACTAGCCTTTTAGGCTAAATAGGAAGCCATCGTGCCAACTGCCTTCAAGGGTCGCCTCACCAATTGATCACAGTCGGATCAGCTGCTCATGTCCACAACCGTCGAGATGGTGTTTCTTTTCTTTTTGTCAATGTTCCTTACGAAGAGGCAAGTTCCTATTGGTGACGAAAACATCTCTCTTTGGAACATTGCAAGATCCTTTTGCAAGTGGTGCTTTTTGGATTCTTTTACTTCTTTTCATGATCTTTTACCTGAATCTTCGCGATTGTGCATTTTACAATAACTAGTTCGCCTTTCTTTTTATTAGGGGAAACTTTTGTTGGTGTTTAAGGTTCGTTAAATAACGTGGTATAGAGTCGCCGTGATTTTTTTCGCATAGACCGTTAATCAGCGATCTTGGGAGCATGCTTGCCCACCCTGCTAGAAGCGATTAATAGAGGCCCTACTTTGAGAGTGTTTGACCGTTTCGTGCAATTTTGGTTCACTATTGCACTATTTAGTGCTTCACCTGGTTTCTGCAAGGAACCAAATTATGTTGACCTCTGCCTTTACATGACGCACGCATGACGCTGAGTCTGAACGAATTTTGTCCTTATTTCTTTGGGCTAATGCCGTTTGGACTCCAGAAATTTCGTCTTCGAGCTCATTTTCAAATTGCCTAAGTCACCAAATCCACTAAAAACTTGTATATAGGGGTAATTCAACATCCTGATTACGAGACACTCATTCTTGGCGCTGGCGCCAAGAGAGGACACTACGATTACCTCCTGGGCTCAGCCTTAGCAGAGCGCAGGTAACCGTAGTGTCATCCATTAGCGCCAGCGCCAAAATTCGTGATCAGGATGTTGAATTACCCCTATATACAAGTTTTTAGCGGATTTGGTGATCTTGCCACTTTTAAAATAGCTCGAATGGCACGAGATTCTTTTTGCCACCCTCGTGGCGCTTTCGTCCTGTGTATCGCATTGAAGAAAGGGAATGGAACAAAGAAAGGAAACTGGCTGTGACTCTCCTCCCATTTGATCCATCTTATAATAAGGTGCCTTTAATCACCTCATTCAGAGCGACAGCTCTTTTCTTGTTAAGTCAATCATCCCCCTTCTTCTTGCTTACTTCGTATCGTACGCGTCTGAAGGAATGCAAGGTCTGGTTTAAAGGGAAAGCCTGTGATAAGAAATCGTGGGTAAGGGGAAGGAGACTGAAGTAGGAATGCCAAGGTGCCGAAAGACTTTAGTAGTGAAAAAAAACTAGAGGGAACATGATCGCAATTATCCTAGATGAGATTTCCTTCGAAGCGAGCATGACAGTGGAGAGAGGGTGGATCGGATGAGATCACTGAACACTGGCGTTGTGGCTGATATAGTCGCAGCAATTGGTCCAGCTGATTCCTTAACGTCAAGAACGTCTTTGCTTACGACCTTTGGCGAGTCTTCTGTTGCCATGGCTGGGTTGATACGGTAAGAGGGGAGGGCTAATGAAGGTGGATCGGGCTACTGATACGAATGGGGGCCCTCGTCATTTGTTTCCCAGCGGAACGCTATCCACGCCATGTGGTTGAGAGGGGAGGTACTAAGAGGTCTAATGGTTCGGACGAGCTGTGCTCAACATCGGAGAATTCTGAATTGTCGATATGAAGCTGACTAGTTTTCAAAGAAGAAGTACAACATGATTATACCTGATCATGTAGAGAGAAAATACCACGGCAGAAATCAACAAAATACCAATCAGTACTCCTCCAGCTATGACGTATGTACCGTACTGCTCCCAGAATGGCTTCGGACAATCACTTCCCGTATAACCACATTTTGGGCGAGCGAGAGGACTACCAATGAAAAAAAATTGTGGAAATTGTAGATGGCACTAAAAGGATATGCCTAATTGAAAAACTCACCGTTGCCCACCTCGAGTTGCCCAGAAAGCTGTTGCCTCATTTGTGTAGCCCTTTGACATTACCTCAATAAACCATAATTTTTAGTGCTATAGAACGTAGCTGATGAAACATGAGAATGACTCACTGCTTTCCCGTCAGCAAATGTTAAATTCATAGGCGTAATTTGATTGAAGTTGGTATCGAGGACGTATACCGAGTACAGTGGAATTCGTGTTCCATTAGAGTTTATGTTGACCAAACCAGTTAATCCTGAAAAGCTGAGCCATCATTTGTGAAATATCGGTCCGTGCAAACCCTTGGACATGATAACAGGGACGATAAAGGAGAAAGTTAACATCGAAAGCAATCACGGAAAAAGCCTCCCGGTTCACCAATAGAAAAATTAGTTTTCAGAAATCGCCGATTGTTTCAAAGCTTAACTTCACGTTTCTGAATTATTGAAGTTTCTCTGATACATTTTTGTAGCCCAGTGATAGTTTCTGTATGCCCATATTATCCGAATCGCCAGGGTGCTGTCGGGAAGCGCCTGAGCACTTCTACACGAAAATACACCTCATCGTTGCCAATGAAACGAATTTTACTAGAAGTCAGTGGTGCCCCGAAAAACTGCGAAACATGCTGTAGAACTCACGCAGACACCTCATGCCAAAGCCGACAACCGCTTCCCTCGACAACGAGATTTCTCAGTCGATGAACGTGAACATAACGGCATTTCGTAGTAGCGCATTACTTTAGTGACTCTCGTTACGGGATGGATATGACAGATCGTGCTGAGCTCCTCAACATCCGGCTTGCTCGCATGGATGTCCTGTCCGTGTTCTGCCAACCCTGTTCAAAATGAGCTAATCGGGAGAAATGTAGATTGCGGACGAGGAGAGGACGCTGGAGAGGCGAAAGTTGCCATTTGCCTCGAGCCCATCAATAAATTGAACTGTAATTCGGGGAATAGTATGTATAATTGAATGCACCAATAAGCAGGACTGCCAAAGTGATTCTCCGATTCGCCTAACAAGGTCACCAGATTGAGCATGGCGAGAGCATCGAAAGGGTCGAGGATTTCCAGTACCTGGGGAGCAACCTAGCAGCTGATGGCAGCGTGGACCAGGCGGTGACGGCCCGAATCAACGCAGCCTGGATGAAATGGAGGGAGTCCACTGGCATCCTGTGCGACCGGCGGTGCTCGAGAACGCTCAAGGGTAAGGTGTACCGGGCTGTGGTAAGGCCTACAATGCTCTACGGCAGTGAGTGCTGGCCTATCTGCAAGAACATGATAAGAATAGCTCCACACAGCTGAAATGAGGATGCTGAGATGGGCCTGCGGCTGGACACGACTCGACAGAGTCAGAAACGAGGACGTCAGAGCGGTCACACAGACGGCTCCTATCCAGCTGAAGGCACGAGAGCAGCGACTGCGATGGTACGGTCATGTACTGAGGAGGCCTGAAGACACCCAATAAGGAAGGCATTGGAACTCGAGGTAGAGGCAAGCGACCACGCAGATTCCCAAAGAGAAAGGTGAGGGACGCTATCAAGAGGGTCTCACTGAAAGTGAAAGCCACAGCAGCACGATGCGTGGAATCGGAACAAGTGGCGACGTGTTATAAGAACAGCGGACCCTGCGACTGCGCGGGACTAACGCTAGGGAGAAGAAGAAGGTCACCAGATTGAGATTCGCTTGAGCCATCAGTTTCTGTTCTCCATGTTTATAACGGTGTAAAATAAAAAATATGGATCCTGTCTTTAGTCAATCACCCTTAGGATTGGGGTACGGTATGTCACCTACACTACTGACATTTCCAGAATTGTGGTGTTTTTGGTGTCAATGGCTTGGCGCCACCGGTGTGAAGTCAAGTGTCGTTTTAAGCGCAACTGTCTACATAGCTTGGAAGGTCGAACACCTTTTATCGAGGCGGGCGCCCGAATCTGGGACTATTGACCCATGCGCAGCAAGCCCAGCTCTACACCGAAAAACACATCCACTTGTTGAAATAGTATGGCTAGAACAGAAGTTGACGAAATTATATCAAAAAACATGGTGCAATCTGGAAAACACGAGCAATCTGCGTACCTACAAAACTCCGTTTCATCGACTGAAACAGTGTGGTGGCGTTAGACTGCCCTCCGACAGGATCCAGCGTAAGGGATTCATTTAGAGATAGTGCGTAGAGATAGAAAACATCATGAAGATGGCGTGCCCATGTTGCCATCTGAAATCCCAAAGCAAATTAAATAAATATTATCTCCACAGTGTGACATTATCAATAAGCGGCTTGTCGTGTTATGCCTGACAGGAAATAAATAATGACCAGCGAACAAAAAAATTGGACCATCTTGTTCTCTAACCATGAACTGCTAGGCTCACTATCGCACAGCCTTTACGCTACAGGCACTGCAAAGATAACTCCCGATGCGCTGGGAGCGAGCTGTAACATCGACGGCCCTTCTTCATGAAACATTTGGTGAATGCAACTCTTGGGTAGTGGGTCTTACCATGAATTTGTAGGCGCCACAGACTTATCAGCAGAAAAAAACAACACAAATCCTCGAAGCGCGGCCCATATTGAAGCTTCGAAGTTTGTCAGAACCGGGCGAGCATGCGATGAAAAGAGGGATAGAGGTTCAGAACGGACAAGCTTAGAGTCAAACAGCCTCACATGCAAGTTCACTGCGATGGGATAAGTATGATTAAGGCACTATTCAACTATTACTACCCCAGTTTTGCGAAAACAGGCCGGATCTTGATCGACTTTTTTCTACGGGGGTGGATTTGGCTGAAAGTTGGGTTCTAGGGGTAATTCGACCTCCTGAACACGAATATCACATCCACTTGGCCTGAAATTGCCTGGCGCCCGCGCCATAGGCGCCAGTGATTTGGGGCATTTTGGCGCCGGCGCCCGTAGCGCGGACGCGGAGCGGTTTCAAGCCGAGGGAATGTGATATTCGTGATTAGGAGGTCAAACTACCCCTAGGTACAA